TAATCATCAAGAAATATGTCATGTTTAAAAAATACATTAACTATAACTTTTTATTACTATTTTGTATATGATTTGAGTTGAGGAACTTATTAATTTGGTTTTGAAAAATACATTCCAGTGATTCAGTGACATGTTTCTGAGTAATTTATTTACATGACCCAGTACCTACCACCACTGCAGCAGTGTCGCAATTATTGACCAATGAATAAATACCATGGTCAACATTTTAATTTTAAATAAAAAGATACCATTTAGATAACGCATTTAGTACTTCTGTGGGGTCAAATTTTGAAAAAGAAAATATTGATCCCTTATTTTTAAATAATTTATTGAAATATTTTAAAATTGTGAATTGATGTTTAGAATTAAATTTTATGATGTGAATTTCTTTTTTTTTTTTTCAACACAAGAAGTTTAGAATATCAGTTTTAAGAATGCCTAAGAATATGTTCTTGTCTAATGAATTATGGTAATAACATAACATTTGTGTAACAAATATTCTATCCAGTAATTGCATTGCACCTTCCTCCTCCTGCATGAACTTTCTTTCAATTTTCTCTAAAGAAAATTGCATAATTATATAATGACATTCACATGGAAGGAAAATGCCTCATTATATTAAAATAATTTTGATTTCATTTGGACATGCCCTTTTCTAATATATGCAAAAATGAATTTTAATGATATTCAAATCATTCAAATTTAGTAGTACTGGTTTTGACACATGTAATTTTAGATGAATGCTATTTTAGTAATTGAAAAAAATTAAGAAGTTAAAAATATATATATGAATTTTTAATTAGTGATGATAAATATGATTTAAAATAAAAGCATCAAATTTACAATGTTTATAAATGAATGCAATAATCTTGAATATCTTGGATCATGACAACACTAATCGTAAATTATTGTTTTATCTAATATGAAGTTTGAACTTTTTGAACATATCTATGCATATGCATGTACATGTTATAAACATCCATACAAAACTGTTTACTAAATTTTATTGATCATACATATAGAACCGATACAATTTTATTACATTTAAAATGATATTCGAAACACAAAAGAATACAATATATTAATTAATAAATAATTAAAATAATGTAAGATCAAATTTTATATATTTTATTAAAAATTCCAATTTTCTTTTCATTTAAAATAAATATTTAAAAGAAAAGAGAGAGAAAGTGTGGAGAATGTGCATTATGCAATGGAAGTTTGAGTAGATATTTTGTTAAGTGGAGTGAAAATGTGATGCAGAGAGAGACAGACAGAAAGTCAGATTGAGAGAGAGAAAGTCACATGCAAACAAAGTCAGCCATCTTTCTGAGACCAAACCCGTTTTGAGTCAGCTCTGTCACAACTTGTTTGTCACCACTTTTTTCTTTTCCTCTTTTTCACGCGCCTTTCTTTATTCTCTTTTTCACTCTCTCTTTCCGTCCCTACCAACGTACATCCTTTCACTTTTTCTATTTTATTTATTAATTTTTTATTTATGTATAAATACTTCTCTTCAAATAAATTTAACTTATGATTTTAAACGTGTTCAGATAAATATTAAGGAATTTTGATGGTATCAATATTCTGACTGAAATAATTTTTCTGATAGAAGATTAACAAAGTCTTTATTTTTACATATCACACTAATGTTTATAACTATTACAGGTTTATTTCTTAAATCAATTATTACATTTCACTAGTACAAAAACACAATATAAGATTGGTGATTTTTGGTCCATTACGTCGAATTCGAGATTGAAGTTATATCAAGAGACGTTAAATTGACGTTAGATTTAAAAAATTCGACATTAGTTGACGTTAATTACGTCGACATAGAACAATCCAAACGTCGGATATAAAACAAATTAACGTCGGATATTGCTTTATATCCGACATTAACTTATGGGTTTTTTTTTAAAAAAAATCGTCAATATTTTCTTCCACTGAAACCATGAAAAATCAATATACAACACAAGAATACACCACAAAAATTTTCAAAATTTTAGAAGTAGTAACAACACTAATAAAAAGTGCAATAACTAATAAAAATGCAACAACCAATACACATAAAAAGTAAAAAATGAAACTGACCGTGAAGGTGAAACAATAGACAGGTGCTTCTGTGAGGGTGAGGAGAAGACAACCACCGCCGAAGAGGGAAAAAACGAGAACTAAACGGTGCTCCAAATGATGTCTATGCACGAAACTAATAGGTTAAAATGAAAGGAAATCATACATAAAATCATCAATCAACAGTTTTTTGTGTTAAGCAGAAGAAACATTACTTTAGTAGTCGCCGAAGAGAACTCAAGGGTGCTCCAAATGGTGTCTATGCACGAAACTAATAAGTTAAAATGAAAGGAAATCATACATATAAAGTCATCAATCAACGAATTTGTGTTAATTGGAATAAAAAATTACTTATGGTGATCATCGAAAGCTTCCTTAAAGACATTCAACCCGCAACAAAGAAAATGCACACAAAAATAGTGAAACAAATGTCCTTTCTCGCGTTCTTAAAATATTTTCACGCTCAAAGTAACGTCTGTTCCTCTTACTAATCGATGTCAAACGAGTCTCTTAAAATATTTTACGCTCAATTTTTCATGAATTTAAAAATTAAAAGACGTTTGTTGTTTCTTCAACAAACTTCAAAAAGACAATTAACGTTTGTTTCTCTTACCAATCAACATCTAACGTGTCTCTTAAAATATTTTCACACTCAATTTTTTATGACTTTATAAACTAAAAGACATCTGTTCTTTCTCCAACATACTTCAAAAAATAATTAACGTCTGTTCTTTTAACCAACCGCGTCTAATGTGTGATTTTATTCACAATATTGCCACTAGATCATTTTTAACATTCGCTGCTTGGGCATCCAACATTGAGCGTTAAGCGTTGTACGTCCATTTTGTACTAGTGTTCAAAATAATTAGAATAAGATTATTAAAACAAATTATTATGTTTAAAATATTTTGAAACTTTAATTTTATTTTTAAAAGACAGATAATTAAAAAATATATATTTAAATTATTTTAATTCTCAATTCTTAAATAATATAAACTATCATATATTGAAACATATAATATATTGAAACATATAATATATTGAAACATATAATATATTAAAAAATATAATGGCTAACACAAGTGTATGCCCCTAACTAAATAAGTTGTAAAAATTTCAGTTTCAATTAAATATAATATTGATTTGTAAGAATAAATTAAACTTAATGAAATAAATAATTTATTTAATTTTTATTAAAATTTGATTCAAAATTTTTAACTGTTGATATTTTTTAAGAATAGGAATACTTTGTTATTTTGTAAAATATTCTCAAAATACTCTTAATTAATTAAACTTTGATACATTAATTATTAGTAATAAATAATTTATGATACATTAAATATTTTGTTTAACTTATCATACCTTGACTATTAATTAATTTATTATACATTAACTGTTAATTAATTTATTATACATTAACTATGAATTAATTAACTGTGCTTAAACATATCATTAAGTTTTTAGTACCCCAAGATATTTTGAATTTATGACATTTAAACGTTCGAATGATAATACTTCCTTGGGAATGTTCGCCCACTCTAGCGCGTGCACACTTATTATCATATTTGTATTCACGTTGTCACAAATATGTTGATTTTTATTATTCTTTCATCAGTTTTATTTATTTTTTATTTTATTTTCATGAAATTATAGGTAACATATCAAGTGAAATATTGTTTAATGTTTAATTTTTCAAACATTACTTGTTTGATGTTTAATTTTTTTCAATTTTATTTACAAATTTTTGATATTTTACAATTTTCATAGTTTTATATTATTATTATTACTATTATTTTATATCTTCTATAGTAACAGTCCTATTTTCTTACATAGTAAACTAATAATTATAAATGTAAATGTTAAATGAGAGTATGTTAAACTAAATATATTATTTTGTTAATAGTATTAAATGTTTTTTGAATAAAGAGGGAGTGATGTTTAAATGTTTTAAGTCTATTATTATTTTTGCCTGAATGTAAGTGGGCATGTATTAATTATTTTTAATTATTTATGACAATATTGTAGAAAAAAACAGATTACAAAAAGTTAAAAGGTAAATATGTAAAAGATAAAAAACTTATTTTACAACAAAGAAAGTATTTGTAAAGAAATACGTTAGCATTTAAAATTTATTAATTGAACAAATCATTACCGCAACAAGATAAATATTTACAAATTGTTATCATTGTAAGAATAAAAAAAATTATAAAATAACTTAAATATTGAATAAAATACTAACATATAAAGATAAACTTGAATTTGTTTATGTTTATTATAATAAAATTAGAAAAATCTAATTTTTTGTGTTTGTCAAGTCTTAATTTTAGAAATAAACAGTTTTTTTTCTTAATTCTTTAATAAATAAACCCTTTACACTTATTGAATAAGTGATTATTTAAAAGTGTTTATTTAAGAAACACTTAACCAAATTCATATGATACTAAAATAATCAGTATTTTTACTTTTTGAAATATATGAAAGTAGATTAAACATTAGGAAGCATAAAAAAGTAAGGTATGCAAGATTGTGATTAAGAAAAGAAAGAAGAAGCAAAGTAAAAGAAGAGAAAATATTCACTATTGGGAGTTATCCAGTTGAAGTTGAAAGAGAAAGAGAAAGGTGCTTTTCTATTGAAGTTTTGTTTGTTTGTGTAATGCAGTGAGTAGGGCACATAGCTACCTTAGCTAGCTCCATAGCATAATTCACCATCATTCATTGTTCATCACCACAACTCAACCAGGAGAGAGAAATCTAAGAACTCCCATCACTCACCCCTAGAAAATATTTGCAATGAGATAAGGACTTGTGCTGCTGACACACATCAAGAGAGAGAAAGAGAGACATCACTGTTCATTACTCATGTTTTGTTTTTTCCTTTTTTCTTTCTCATTCTCAGTTAATGTTGTTGTGCTACTTCACTCTTTTTTTTTTGTACACTCTCACTTCTCACTTTCACACACACAGCACACACAACAACACACAAACACAGCACACACACATACTCTCTCTCTTCTGTGCTCTTCTGTCACCCACCGCTCTTTAATTCCGCATGAAACCGTTGAACGTTTTTCAACTCTCTGCCTTCATAAGGGTCCTCCAATTCTCTACCACCACTACACACACCCTTTTAAGTTTTGATTCTCTCTCCTCACATGTTAGTACTTTTTTGTTTCCCTTTTTATTTCTCTCCATGATTTGAAGAGATCTTCATCTTGCATTCATAGCATTTTATCAGTTTTGTTTCTGGTGTGAAATCTGTTCTGCTCTTCAGAAAGGTTGTTGCTTCTCTGTGGTGTTTGTGACATTTTGTACTCTTTACTTGAATTCTAAAGTGGGTTAAAATTTATATAATTTTGAATTGAACTAGTTAAGTGGTTGGTTCTTCATGATAAGTAAGTAAAGGAATTTATCTTTGGGGTTTTCATTTTCTGGGTGTTGGCATCAGAGGGTGAGTGAAGTTGATATAATACATGGTTATGGTTATTTGGTTGCCATGAAATTTGCTTGGTGTTTAAGGTTTTATCATGGGTTGGTGAGTGTGGACCTGTTACAGTTCACCCGGCCTTTATCTTCAATGTGAAGCCTTTTTGTTGTTTCTATATAATTTGGTAAGCTGTATGTAAACTAGCTTCTCTTTTTGTCTTCTCTGGAATTGGTCTACTACTAGAATATTTGTGTGAACTACCTTCTAGCTAGGCTTTCCATTCTTTCCATTGATCTATCTTTCTACTTTTTGGTTGTTTTCAGCTTGTCTTGTACCTTCAATTGAGTCTAGGGTCCCTTTCTCTTCCTTCATACGTATAATTTCAATAGGGTGTTAATGTGTTATCCTTGAGAAACTTCGTCTGTGGGAAGCCTATGCTTCTGATTTGAAGGACATGTTATTGTTGTTGCTAGTATAATTTAAGCACCTTGTTGACAGAATTGTCATAATGATATAGGATTTCATGGTTTTCTGATCTGTGCATTTTTTTCTTTCCTCCAAAATTTGTGACGATGGACTGTGGGAACAGAGATAGGTGGAATTGAATATTGAGGGGTTTCAAGGTCTAGTAAATGCATGGATCGAGGGGACCAAATGTTATCTGGCTCTGCATCTTACTATATGCAGAGAGGAATACCTGGTGCTGGAACTCAATCTGAACTGCACAACTCGCCTAATATTAGATCATTGTCTAATCCTAATTTACCATTTCAATCAAGCATTGGTGGTGGTGGTACCATTGGATCCACATTACCGTTGGAGTCTACAGGAATTTCATCTCCATGTGTCAATGTGAGTGCTCCTTCTGGTGCTGTGCCAGGGGAATCTGCCAAAAGGAAGAGAGGAAGGCCTCGAAAATACGGGCCGGACGGAACTGTGTCGTTGGCATTGACTCCAACGCCAGCAAGTCATCCTGGAGCCCTGGCACAAGGCCAGAAACGAGGTAGAGGGCGCCCACCAGGATCAGGGAAGAAACAGCAGTTGGCTTCTCTTGGTAAATCCCCATCTCAGCTTTTGTGTTGTTGTGCATTTAGTGAAAGATAAACGTAAAGTAATGATAGTTTGAAGTTGAGTTGAGATGTTGCTGGCTGTCTAAATCCTTATCCAAGTGATGTTTTTTGATTCTAACATCTCAATAAACTGAGTTTACAATGACTTTTGTGTTGCAGACTTGCAGTGGATAAATTGTTATTTTCTTTCTGAGTACAAGATATGCTGTTTGTGTGTTGAATGGTTGAGCTCTCAAACGTTTTGGTCTATTGAGATTACTGTGTTAGTGCAAAATCTGGATTTTGCTTCGAAAGGCTGGATTGTTTGGTTGTGACTGTTTCTGTTACATCACTTGCTTTACTTAATATTAACACAACTTTTTAAATTAAAGTATCATTGCTAAGGTGTTAAGTGCTCTAGCGTATGCCAACATTCAAAATTACACATTTCATCTTTTTCTCTGGTGGTTTATACTTTTGTTTTCAGACTGACATTATGATATCAAACTCACTAAATTTACAACTTTTCAATGAATTGGGTATAAATAATAAACTATTAGTTTCTTTGCACAGATAATTTTTTTTATTACAAGATACATGCAGTGTTTGCAGACAGTTGAACCCTCAAAAGTTTTACTTTCTTGAGAGATTATGGACAAGTAAAAATTATTATGGATTTTCCTATTAAACTGTTGAGTGTTAAATCTGACTGCTTCAGTCTTTACATCACTTTTTTATTTTTTATATTAACACTAATTTGATGATTAAAATTAAATATTATATAATTATTTATCTTTACTCTGATATAATTTATACAAGAAAGGAAATATTTTTTATCTTAGTTCTAAGTAACATGAAATCAGTGTTTTAAAACTAGGCTTAAATTGGATCAGAAACTGAATTTGCATTTCATTGCACATCTACTGCAGCTGTCTACTGCAGCATGTGAAATTTGCAGTAAAATTATTAGGCAGAAGATTATTACATCTCCCCTATTTAATAAATAGTCCTTCATTTGGCATTTTTGCCAGTGTTTTTCTTAATTATCCTTCAAATTTATTCCCAATTTAAATTATTCTTATTGCTTTTTCAAAAAATTTATGCTCATCCCCTTTACTATGCCATACACCCTTCCTTTGTCACTCCCCCACTCACCCTTTGTAATTTATAAGTCAGACTTGTTGAAAGTATTATTCTTTGAAATAGAAAAAGGCCATTTAGTGCCACTTAAATTATTTAACTCTAGTGGTATTCTTGGAGTACTATTTAATTTTATGGCAATATTAATTGAAATCAACTAATTTAACTATTGGTCTGGATGAATTATGTTTTTTTTCTTTCTTATATATAAATTTGGAGGTAGTATTGTGAGAGCTAATATACCTATAACTTAATTTCAACAAGTTGATATTTTTACCATGCCTATGATAAAAGTTGTATTTTTGGACATTACATTATTTTCAATAAATCATGTTTTTATTGTTATTTATGAAGGATAAGCAGTTTTTGTTTATTGAGTCATGTATGGATGCAAAGTATGCATTGATTGAATAGTGATGGTAATAGTTGACAATTCATTCTGTAGAGTAATCCTATTGAATCAAAAACTTCTGATTGTATCCAAGATGAACAGAAATCATTATAGCTTTATACTTTTCCATAATTGCTGCAGAACTCCTCTGTTAATTTCAAATCAATTTTTAACTTACGAGTTTTAGTTTGTTTCAAATTTTTTGTTACTTTAGAAAACTAACTAGGAATACACTAACCTCATTGATACACTCACATTTCAAAATCATTGCACATGACCCTACTTTTCCTTTTTCTCTCTTTCTTGAATTTCACTTTTTATTTATTTTACTATATGCTGAATAGTAATAAATTTAAATATTTGTGTTACATGATGTTGGTTTGGGTGAGTTTAGGTTGAGAATAAAATTTTACAAAAAACTGATTCAGCCTTATTTGATTAGTTTTGACAGTGGTTTCCCCATAAAGCAACACTCTCTCTTTCCTTTTTAAGGTGTCCTTTAAGGTTTTGTTTTTTTTTGGGAGAAACCAATAAATGTAATTTTTTTACTTCAATAAAATATTTATAAGATTTTTTTTTCCTACATGACAAGGGTATACATGGTAAATGTTCTTTAAATGGATCATTTTGGTTTTCTGTCTGTAAGGGGTGATTATGTTAATTTTGTTTAATTATAAATTATATTAATTTTGTTTAATTATAAATTAATGTAAAGGGTGATTCATGTTTGACGTTGAGTGGTTATTGCTAGGTGAACTGATGTCTGGTTCAGCTGGGATGGGTTTCACTCCTCATATCATTACCATAGCAGTTGGAGAGGTATGCCTTTTACTTTTAAGATGTTGTATCAATTTTTCTGCTTCTTTTTGTGTATGTTGAAAAATTTAAGTTCTGAATATTTATAGGCTGCATTTGTTTTCATCTTCAGTAATAAATTACACAACAGTATCTTGTTTTTCATTTTGTTTTCTGTCTTTAGACTTTGTGAAGGAAATGGTTAAACTATTTTTTTATTTATTTTCTATTCTTTCTTTACTAAAGTTTGAAAACAGGTGATAAAATGTAACTAGATAGCACTTTTATAATTGGTAAAAATGCATCAACTATAATAAAAAAGAGAGAACACATGAAACACCTACTCTGTTTGTGTTTTCTCATTTTTGAATGAAGATCTATAAAGCATCAATTGATTGATTCTACATTAAATTGGTCTCTTGACTTAATCATCAACTTACTTGTATTAATTTCTCCATAGAGAAAGGAAATTGACGTCTGTAATTTCTAAGTAGATGTTGATATCATTTGAAATTCATCTTTTGTCTGTCATCATTGTTTTATTAAAGTACTATAATTTTACTCATCAATGAATGTAAGATGATACATACTCTAAAAATGATTTCATTTGAAACATAATGTGCTCCAAGGTGGTTCTTTCTGTAAAAATGAAGAAATACTCTTTAAAAAATTGTGCTCTTTCCATCTCTGTAGGACGTTGCCACAAAAATCATGGCATTTTCTCAGCAGGGTCCAAGAGCTATATGTATTTTGTCAGCCAATGGTGCTGTGTCTACTGTGACTCTTCGCCAGCCTTCAACATCAGGTGGCACAGTCACATATGAGGTTTGTAACTTTCTAGTGTTGTGTTTGTGCTTTTATGTTCAGATAGACTTGTAGCTAATAAACAATTTCACTTGATATCACTTCTTGCTTAATAAATTTACTTAATCACATAACAATTTCACCATAATACTCTGATTCTTTTGTTATTTTTGGAGAATGACTTAGTTTAAATATTCTATTCATATGGATGCTAGAAATATTTTGCCCCTGGAAATCAAGACTTCGTTCTAGTTACTTTGAGCTTGTTTTTTATGTATGCAGAACATGTACATAGGTGCATTCCAATGTATGTCTGCTATCAACTCACATTCATGACTGCACTGGCTGTTACTTAAATGCAATTTGATTTAGTATTCGGCTAAAAAGTGTTGAAGGCAATGATTCTACAAGTTTTGGTTATTCTAGTGTCAGACTTTTTATAAGAAATAGCTATTATTACCGAGTTATCTTGTTGCGAGTCATAGTGCTAGACATGTGTTTTCTTGAAGAATTTTATTTTACTCAGCCATAAATTTAGAACCATTTGAAGTGGTTCATCAGTATGCTTTCTTTTTCCTATCCACTTTGACAACTTTTTATCTTGTTGAAGTTATTTACTTTGGTTATTTATAATTATTGATGGACTTTGGATTCAATAGGGGCGTTTTGAGATATTGTGCCTGTCAGGCTCTTACTTGGTTGCCGATGGTGGTGGCTCCCGCAATCGAACTGGTGGATTAAGTGTTTCCCTTGCAAGTCCTGATGGCCGTGTCCTTGGCGGAGGAGTTGGTGGAGTGCTTATTGCTGCAAGTCCAGTTCAGGTAAATGCATTTTATTGCTGTCATCATATTGTGTTGAAGATCATCATTATCATGTCAAAACTTGCAACTTTTTAAATTTGGATGCTTTATTACCACAGGTGATAGTTGGAAGCTTTACATGGGGTGGATCAAAGACAAAGATCAAGAAAAAAGAACCTTCAGAAGTGGCAGAAGTTGCTATAGAGACTGATCATCAGACAGTTCATAATCCCGTCGCAATGAATAGCCTCTCGCCAAATCAAAATCTTACTCCAACCTCATCTTTAAGTCCGTGGCCAGCATCACGATCATTGGATATGCGCAACTCTCATATTGACATTGATTTAATGCGCGGGTGACAATTTATTTAGCATATGCCAGTACTGAGTATATATTTCAGATTCATGGTCACTCATCTAATTTTCCTGTAGTAGTAACTACAGCATGGGAACTACCAACAGCAGAGTAGAAGCCAGCTGACTTATGGAAATTTGATAAAATGTCACCTATCTCTACCCATGATTGACTGTAGGGTTGTACTCAATATTTTTGTAGCTGTGAGGAATTTTAATTTGAAGATTTTGCGTTATTGGTTGAAAACAGACTGTTGTTTATATCCTATTTGAAAGAAATTGGCAATTGAGGTAGATGCTTTGTGGTTTTGAGGCACACATTATGATATAAATTAGTGTGACTTTTGTCATTGAACTATAGTCTCCTGAAAGGCAATGACAATGGGTGCATGAAGATTTACTACTAGGAATGCATAGTGTTGTGTCTGAGAGCTGTGGATGTTATGCTTTGGATGGTGATTCTTTTTTTCCCTTCTCAATTCTAGTGTATCTTATTCTTGTTGCCAATAGTGAGTTATCCTGCACTTTTCTAATTTACATTCTCTGTTCACGTCTTACTCCTTTTCTCCAACAATCTGTTCCTTTTCGTTTCACCCCCATTGATATTCATGCCCCTGGGGAATGGTCATTTGATTAGGCTGTAACAGTTTAGGCTCCAAACGCTTTTGAGAAAGGGCAGAACATGGATGAAGTTCCTTATGTGTTTTTGATGTTTTTCTGCAATCATAATTGAAGTTTCACCTAAGTTTTTCCCTTGAAATGATGGCTTTTATGGAGTCTTTGGAGCCTAAACTAGTTGTAGGTAACTTAGCTGATTGTTGTAGATAACCAGCAATGCAATAGTTTTTTTGGTAACTTAGCTGATTGTTGTTAGATTGGTCTCTTAAGTCCCTTGAAACAGACAGTCAAATAGGTTGTTACTCTCAAGATCAACTTGCTTCCATGGGAAGAAATAACATGTAAATTTATACATGCACAGATGATGTAACAAGGTTTTCTGAAATATGCAGGAAACTGCTACAGTTGGAGGACAAAACACTGAAGTTAGCAGTTGCATTACAGCATAACATCCACCCTCTAATACATAGAATTAAATTGAAGACATGCATAGGATAAAAGTAACTAGTTGGTGTGAAGGATGACCACATAGCCCAACTTAGCAACCTGAAACATCGACCAACAATGTAACTGGCACCAGTGTTGATTGAAAGATAAGTGTCATAATGGTTTTAAATTGTGTATCATTTGTAATTTGTAATTACTAAAATTTTGGACATTGCATTGCTTGAACTTCTAAAAACTAACATACTTGTAGTTGAATTGTAGAGCCACTTGCATCATCACTAAAATGGTAGAATTTGTTCTTTTATCTGATGTGCTGATTTATACCCAATGGCTTGGGAATCACTGGTCAAGAGTTAAAACCTTTATTATTGTTGAAAACCAACTATCACCAGCTAAAGAAAGAAGGGTTTGTCTGTCCTGGATGGCGTTATACAAATTTTATGGTTTTGTTGTTTTGTTGTTCTGCCGTGGTTGATTTGATTTCTACTGAAGTGATGTTTACCTAAACTCTGAATTTGTACGTTCGTGGCATTGCACTTCAGTTGCTTTACTTGTCCAAGATGCATGTATCATGCAATGCCTTTTGTTTTGTGTGTGAAGGGAAATGCTAGAGAGTGACCCTTGTACCATCCATGATATTTTAGCAAGAGAACAGCTTCCCTACACATCAATTACTCTACCACGTCCACATAATTCGACGACCGACAAGAGTTATACTTTTTTTTTTTATTATGAGTATGTATAGAAAAAAAAAGAAACATATTTTTATAAGAAATAAATTCTAATCCTATTTAATCTTAAAAGGTTTGTATCTATTTATATATTATATAATCATTTTATTTTTAATTGATGTAAGATTTTTAACACACTTTTCTTATATTAAGATATTTATATGTCAAGCGTGTGTTAGCAAAATAATAAGTAAAATCTTACAATAAGTTGTAATACATGATTAAATAGTAAATTTTAAGTCTAATTCAATCTTACAAGATCAATTAATAAAATGATGTTTGCACTTAATTAATAAAATGACGTTTGTCCTTATTTATATATTATGAAATCGTTTTTATTTGATAAAAATAAAAATTAATTTATATATAAACTAACTTGCATCTTTATAATGACCAGCAAACGATAAGTGGAGTTCATAGTGTTCCAATGGAGCCATATTATCTGCTGAAGTAGTTTAGATTTTATAGAATGTCGTGTGGCTGTTACTCTACACTAAACGAGTATCTTACTAAATCTTCACAAAAAGTTAACAAAAGGAAAACGCCAAAGATATTTCTGTAGGAAAAAGATTAAGGTATTAAGAAATAAGAAGATAACACATGGGTGAACCAAAATTAAAGCCTTTGGAATTCAGACACACTTTATGTTCCTTCTGAACACTGGCTTAGGAAATGATTGCACACTTGACAGGAGTGATGAAGAATGAGGAAAGATCAGGAGAGGATAGAATTAGCCAGTTATCAGATGATGTACTGTGGCACATCCTTTTGTTCCTTACCACCAAGGAAGCCATAGCTACATCCTTGTTGTCTACCAGGTGGATATTTCTATGGAGAATGCTTCCATTTCTTGACATTCACTGTTCCAAACCAATCATAAAATCCCACAAGAGTGTTAATACATTCTTGGCACAACGTATAACACAAAACATCACAAGGTTTCATCTCAAATGTAATAGCCATAGTTGTTGCTCACATTATGTGGAACAATGGGTCTCTGCAGTGATAGCAAGAAAAGTTGAACATGTGGATATCTCCTTATGCATGTGTCACAGAAGCGTGATCAACTTCGCCCCCTTGTTCACCTGCGCCACGCTTGTCACTTTGAAGCTCGAGGGTCTCTTTAATCTCTCTATTCCTTCTGGTGTTCATCTTCCTAAACTCAAAAGTTTGCACCTGCACATACATGCATTCACCTCCTTCTCCAGCATCAGGAACCTTATCTCTGGATCTCCAGCTCTTGAACTGTTCCACCTGAGGCAGAACTGGTACTTGTCACATTTCAACGAGTTGAAGATTGTGCGAAACTCTCGAGTTATCCAACTGTTCCAACGCAAATGGTTTTACAACCTTGTTATACAAAGTGATCGTTGTTATGATTTTGTCCCAGACTACTTGGAAAGTGGTAGTAGGTCAAACGTTGTTAAAGCCAAAGTTTATATGACAGTGTTTGGTGGAATCAAGGATTTTTATGCTAACCAGTTTGTTTGTGAGACTCTGAAAGAATTATGTAACGTTGAGTTTCTGTCTTTGGGTGATTTTAGGTTAGAGACATACCCTTTTAGTCTTGATCTTCCACTGTTAAAGAATCTAGTTGAGCTAAGATTGTCTCTTGAAAATAGGGACTCCTTGTATATGGAACTTCCTGGGAAGTGTCCTAAGCTTGAAGTTCTTGAAGTTAATATCATGGATGATCGCTGTGGTGCTAATCAAAGGTGTAAATATCGTATTAGAGGCGGAGTGAGGGAACACGACTTGTCTATTGTTCCTTTTTCACCAGAGACAACATTGCTGGAAAGTTGAGACAGAGTCCTTAAGAGATATTATTCGGTTGTTCTTTGTTATGTTTTATGTTTAAGAGAAACTAATTTAGGGGACTTTTCTTCTTGTTTTCCTGGTTTTATATTACTAGGATCAAGTGAAATAGCCAGCGAATTTGAGTCTTTACTCCATGAATTCTGTGTTATTTACTTTTTATCTGGATTGGATTTTACATGTAACTATAATTTGTCTATAATATATATAAAATCTGCTGAAAGCATGTGGCCCATTATCTGTAATCAAACTTGCAGTTGTTGCGTGTGTAAGAGCAATCCGTGTTCAAGGCAGCGTAATAACCCCCTTTTTGTTTGTGTCTGTTTCTTTATATACACTTTTCACACTGTAGAACATTAATGTAAGTCATAAATACGTTAGTTGCAAAAAATGAAAAAAGCTCACAGTTTCACAGCTATGTTTGCTAACAAAGGATAGAAAAGGAAGAATATAATGAGTGTGTTTTCATTCAGAGAGACTTGGAGTTCATAAACTATTACACTTATTAGATTACACACACACACACACACACATATATATATATATATATATATATTATAATGAATATAACTATATTTTTATGACACAATACAGAATGCACAACACAGCAGATAGAAAGAAGACATGTACTAGTATTACAACATTATATTAAGCATCAGCCCATGTAATTTGCAATCCACCCCACTGACTGTGAGGCACACCTAAGGCTTTCCAGACAGCCTTGGAGGCATCAACAATGTTGTTGGGACAAGGAGGTTGATAATCATGGTCTTGATCACATCCCATGGTAGAGTCACACTCGTCAACGACCATGGCCACAACACTTTTGCCATTTGCAGTGATGGTAACATTGTGGAGGCACCTACTCATGTTGTTAAACCATCCGGTGGAAAGTGCAACCACTGGTGTATCATCAGAATGGTACTTGTTGTCACATGCTGAAGGCCCTCCTCCATCTCCACCCTTTTCAAAACTGTTGAGAGTGAGTTCTGCCTTGGTGTTGCTAGACACTGCTGGAGAACATTTGTATGTTGTGTACGTCTTCCCTTCCACACAACACTCTGAATCATTCTCTTGGTTGCATTCTCCTGCTGGTGGTTTCTTCCCTATGATTCTCCCACTTGGACGACACTGTTGTGCTTCACAACACAAGCTATTTGCTGAAATCAGAATCAGCAGCACAACCAAGGATGCCGTTGAGATACAAACATTCATTTTCTATATCTTCTCTTTATCACTGTGTTGTTTTGCTTGGTGCTTGGTGGCCAAAGGGGTGGCTTTAGATGGTAATTTATAGAAAGAGATGTTCATAGTAAGGGTTGGATTCTGCTAGAAAAGGAGCACCATGGTACTAACATCCAATGCAAGGTTCCATTCACATTGAACTGTAGTGGTGAGAAAATTTTTAGTGTACGTGCCGTGGAAAGTAAGTTTCCTTGCTTATAGCAACCATATATTTGGTCAAAGTTTGAGATCAATGCTGCAATGAGATGGAAATTATCAAGCTTAATTATGACTCATGAATTTTGTAGCTAAAAGCCTCTCTTTTGTCACTTTGATATTCAATAGTCTTTGAACCATATAATACGGCATAAAGGCATATTTGGGTTAAATGTGTTTATTATTTTTAAATTATATTACTAAAGTTGCATTTTGTTCCTATTTTAAAGTATGTATAAATTCTGTTTCTACACTTACAAAAAAAAAAACTATAAAGTATTATCAGCATCAAATGATAGCATCTAAGAAGTGCTATAGTTTCTATGTGTGGTCGGTGTTACTGTATGTGTTTATGCTTTGAAATATATGATTAAGTTACAATAAAATTCAGTTTAGAAAGTGTATATCTTACTTTTAACTTATTAGGCAGGGAATGAGATTCCAAAGTGAATATCTTGCTTTTGTGGGCAGAGTTTGTGCAAAATAGATATACAGGAAAATGCATGGTTGATTCCCAACCATAAAATTCATTATGAGTTGACTATGATGTCCAAGTTACACAAAATTAAATATTCTATCAAATATCTTATCATTTACAACTCTTGATTTTGACGATTCAGAATACTAATTTTCTTTTCTGATGTACAATAATCACTAGTTAGGAAAGTGAATCTTTTAATGATACATCAAGAGAAAATTAAGAAGAAGGTTCAACTTGAGCATAATCAGTAGAGAATAATAGTCAAACTGAAACCGAAAGCAATTAACCTAACACCAACACTCATTGGATGGTGACCAGAAGCAAAGCTCAAATTTACAAGCCTAAGAAACCAAACATAGGATTGACAAATGTTCGTGAAGATGACAAACAACCATAAAATGTCAAGGAAACTCTAATCAAGCGAGAATGGAAAGAAGTCATGAATGCAAAATTCAAGGCTCTAATGTCTAATCAAACATGGACATTAATACCATTCAAGGGTGAAGAAAATATCATAGACTCGAAATATGGGTTTTTAAAACCAAGTATAAAGTTGATGGTTCAATCGAAAGAAAAGAAAAACAAAACTGTTGCAAGAGGTTTTCAACAAACAACAAGCATAAATTTTGATGAAACTTTCAGTCCTGTGGTCAAGTCCAGCTATATCAGAATGATATTAGCCATTGCAGTACATTTGAATTGGGATGTTAGACAACTTGACATAAACAATGCCTTCCTAAATGAAAATCTGAAGGAAACCGTTTTTATGCATCAACCTAAAGGCTACATAGACTCAACCAAATCGAATCATAAATGTAGATTGTCCAAGGCCATATATGGTTTGAAGCAGAGACCAAGGGCTTGGTTTGATAAACTAAGAGACACACTTCTGGATTAGGGTTTTCAAAACACCAAAAGTGATTCTTCTGTATTCATTCTTGAAGGTACAAATTATACCACATTCCTTCTCATTTATGTTGATGACATTATTGTAACAGAAAACAATTGCCAATATTTAGAAACATTAATCAATCAATTGAATGTTGTTTTTTCACTGAAAGACTTAAGACATATACACTACTTTCTTGGCATTGAAGTACGAAGGAATGGTAGTGGAATGTATCTAAGGCAAACTAAGTACATAAAATATATTCTGAAGAAGTTCAACATGGAGACAGTTTATGCCTGTCAACACCAATGGTGGCTGGTAGATAATTCACTATAGAAGGGGAACCAATTACCAATGCTACTTTGTATAGACAAGCCATATGTGCATTGTATATCTGACTAATACAAGGCCATACATTGTTTTTGCTGTCAAGAAACTCAGTCAATACATGAGTAAACCTACATGGATCACTAGCAAGGAATAAAAAGAATACTAAAATATTTTCAAGCCACAATGAACCTATGTTTCACATAAAACCTTCCAATGATCTTGACATAATGGTGTATTCTGATGCAGATTGAACAACTAGTATTGATGACAAAAAACCATGGCAGGACAATGTGTGTTTCTTGGAGAAACTCTTGTTTCCTGGTCTTCAAGAAAATAAAAGGTAGTGTCACGATCAAGAACAAAATCAAAATATAGAGTCTTGGCTGATCTGTCTACTGAAGTATCTCGGATTAGATATCTCATGATAGAACTAAAAATACAAATGCTCAGAAAACTAATTATGCGGTGTGATAACCTAAGTGCCAAGTCAATTGCTTCTAATCTAGTCATGTACACAGTCTAAACACATTGAGATAAATGTGTACTACATACGTGATCAAGTCCAACAAAATGAAGTAATTGTGGCCTATGTTCCTACTACCGATCAAATTGTAGACTGTTTGACTAAACCTCTCACTCATACCAGATTCAACTTGCTAAGAGACAAACTTTGCATGATCATGTCACAACTAGTTTGAGAGGGGGAGTTAAACATAATCAGATATTTTGTCAAATATCTTATCATTTATGACTCTTGATTTAAGTGATTCACAATATTAATTTTAGTTTATGGTGTAATATTGCAGTAATTATTGTAATTATTCATCAGCATCCTATTTAAGAAAGTATTTGTTTGTATTACCATAATTATAGGATCTTGATTGTACATTACTACTTGTATTTAAACAGTACATGATCAATACAAATTATTATATTTAATACCATTTTCTATTTGGCTACACTATATTTACCTCAAGACAATATTGTATATTCTAGTAAAACATTCTTTCATTACACAACATCCAACAATCATTTTCTAAACGTTTTAGCTCAAAGATACTCTTTTAAAGCAAGAAACTGATTTCATTATAGTCTTTGAAACCTTGAATAGTTTTGCGATTAACACAAGGCAAGGTAGAAGTAACTTAGAAAAATGTTAGAATTTTGGAAAAACTATCTCAAAAGCAACTGAAGTAGAGCTTACGAGGTTTTATTTTTTTTAACCATACAGTGTAATTTTGTATATTTATAACTTATGATCAGTAATATATACATGACTAAATCACAGTTTGCCACAAAATAGATACATAGAATATAAATAAAGACACATTACTAAGCATCACACCAAGTAATCTGTAATCCAACCTACACAGACTTTGATGCATCAATTATGAGATAAACTTAAATTAAGGTGTTATAGTAATTTAATTTGAGTCAAACTTTATTTGGTATATGATTATCATGTTACCGTTTTCCAATTATTGTCGTAATATGCTCTGATTTGATTCTGTCATTATTACTGGTTTTATTCTCAAAATATTATGATTACTGTATTCATCTCAATTTCTATGACTATTTAAGGCCTATGATATTAATCAATGAAATAAATAGAAATATAGAATCCAATTGTGTACTGTGTGTGGTCTTTTATTTTACAAATTGGCATATGGGCTTTATGTCTTAAGCGTCTGAGTGAGAGAGAAAAAAGGGAAAGAGAGTGAAACACTATGTGTGAGTGCTTAAGAAAAAAAAAAGAATAAGAGAGATGAAAAATATAGTAAATTGTATGTCCTTGCCAAAATTGTTAAAAAAAAGCCAATTATGATAATTGAAGTCTATAGATGAAGGCTCTTCTTGGATCAAAGGACATATGGGATGTAGTGGAGAGTGAATACTAAGAACCCATGGAAGATGAAGAACAGACAATGGTCCAAATTGTTGCGTTGAAAAAGAGGCAAGTGAAAGACAAATAGACTTTGTACCTATTGTACAAAAAGGTTGACGAATAAGGTTTTGAGAAGATAGCAAAAGCCATATCTTCAAAAGAAGTATGGGAAATTCTGAAGATTGCGTATATATGGGACAACCGTGTTAGGCAAGTTTGACTACAAACTCTTAGAGGAGAGTTTAAAACTAGAAGATGGAGGACAAGGAACGAGTGACCGATTACATAACTCGGGTAGAGAAGGTAGTCAACCAACTCGGTAAGAATGGAGAACCAATGCCAAGCAGTTGGGTTGTGGATAAAATCTTGAGATCAATAACAGATGATTTCGAGAGCATTGTGTTCCCCATTAAGGAGTCAAAGCACTTGTCTACACTCTTAGTTAAAGAGCTTGCAGGTCACTTAAGGCCCACAAACAAAGGAGAATGAAGAAGGAGACCTTTGAATAAACACTGCAAGCAAAACTTGATATGAAGGGAGGAGCTCGAAACACTCAAGGCCGAGGTCCTAACGGTAGAGGTTGAGTAGGCCCAGGACATGGTGGACGTGACTGTGGAGATTATGAGGATAGTAGGGGACAAACTGGGCTGCAAAACTGTCGTGGCGAGGTCAAGGAAGTGGCAAAGGAGGTCGGATGAAAGCAGGATTGAAGTGCTTCAAGTGTGGAAAGCACGACCATTATGCAAACGAGCACATATTAGGGATTATATAATTATAAGATGAACAATAATTCATTATCTTCTTCTGCCTCCATGGAGTCATCTTTAGGGTTTGAATCTTCGGATTGTTCTTCCACCTTGAAAGCTTTGGTGGGCATTCTTCTCATTGGTCGTTGAGCTTTAAGTGATACTTTTCTTCTTTCTCAACATCACATCTTGTTGTATTTCCAACTTATGGACTTTAAGGATGCCAACAAGCTCTTCGAGGCTTAAATCGTCAAGGTTCTTAGAAGTCCTTAACGTTGTCACCTGCGTTCTCCATTGTCTAAGGAGGCTGCATAAAATTTTGTCAATATGATCAAAATTATCATAAGAATTACCTAACGATTTTAATTCATGTAAAAAATTTTAGAAGCGACTGAACATAGTCTTAATATTTTTTTTGTCCAGCATGGTAAACAACTCGTATTATCTGGTCAACAAATTGAGCTTGTTCCTCTTTACTTTGTTGGATCCTTCGTGCGTGATTACCAATGTGTCCCACATCTTCTTTACACCTTTGTAGGCATGAAATTTCATGTACTCCTATTCAAAAAGAGCATACATAAGTGAATTCCTAGCTTT